TAAGAGACTGCCTATATTGCATGTGTATTCCTCCTTGTAAATCCTTAAAAATTAAAATATTCCAGCATTTTTGCCCCTTAGTACAACCTCTTGTGTTTGCCTGAAGGTTGTCCCTGTCACAAGAAAGAGTTGCTCATGGGAGGCAATATTACATTGAGACAGGTGGAGGTCTAATGAGTACCTTCAGTTTTCAGCAGACAGAAAGGTCTGCACTGCAACTAACAGCACTGCCAGCAGTTCTGCAGGGAAGATCCTTATCTGATCAAATAATCGAGGCTGCCATCAAAGAAAGCATTAGCAGAAGGAGTCCAAACTGCAATTGCATGTGCAACCTTAACCCTCAAATGCCTAAACTTTCTGAATGCCATATTTCTTAGCTTGCACATGCTGGTAAGACCTTTATTATATGGGACATACACAAGCCATATGTGAATCACAAGTGGAAGGCATTGCCAGCCTCTGACAGCAGAAGAGCTCTTGCTTTTGGTGAATTAAAGATGTGGGCATTTCCACCACTTCTTGCGCCATTACCTCCTGCCTCAGGGGAAACCAGCAGTCAAATTCCTTGCATGATTAATTGCTGTAGCTTGGGCAATTCTCTGGTGTTAGCACTCAGTCTATCACTGTCTTCCCAGGACTAAAGACCAGGATTATCCCCAGACATCCCTTGAGGCCCACCCTGCCTTCTTTCTTGGCTTTGTTACTCAAAGTACACCTTTTCCCTGGAGGCTCATGGTTTTTAGGGCTTTTGGACTAGAAATTAAAGCTTCAGCAATAAGTTATAGTTTATAAAGCAGACATCCAGAAAAAAATGTTGTCTCAGAGTCTCTGCATTATTCAGGAGTGGCTGGGGGGGAAGAGGGTAAAAACCTACTAATCATATAAGACCATGGCCTGACTAATGAACAGAGAAGTGGGGAAAGGCCAGTGATGCTGGCAGACCATTTGGCTACGGAAACCCCTGATAAAATATCCTTTGTGCTCACTCTTCCTTTGAGATCACCCATCTCTCTCCACTGCTTGGGCAGTTAGGCTGGATCTTGCCTGTTCCCGGTCCTTTATGGTTCTGTGCATGATCTAGCAGGTTTTGTCCATTTGATCATCCTCGACTTCCTTACTCAGCTCTTCATAAGTTATTACTGTTCCCCAAAAAAAGAAGCTGGTTAAGTTTATACTGCCCTGCCTCTTCCCAGCTACATCCTGATATATCCGTGCCTCGAGAACAACATGTTAAAGTTTAGTGCTGCTGGTTATTTCCATCAAATCAACATGTACTGAAAAATCAGTATGTATCTACCAGTGCTGCTGACGGAGAAAGCGACTCCCAAGACAGCAGTTTTCTTACACTAAACTGCAGTAACCTGAACTAGAATTTGTAATTTAATGCAGTTTTCTCAAACCCTTACCACAACCTTGTTCAATATGGTTGATGTATCTATCAGTAATTTATGTTGGGCTTTTCTTTATTAAAAAATAATAAATTGACAAATTCAGAAATCATACTGATTTCATTAGTAGTCATTTATCCTGTGCTCTACTTATCTACCTGTGACTCTTCAGAAACATGCTTGCCATGTTAGTTACTTAGACTAAGGCATGGGAGAAAATATGCTGGGAATTTCTTGCAAGCAGACTTTTTTCACAATATACAAAATGGATTGATGAAGTTAGAAATGTCAGATGCCAATATATGAAGCATATTTCCTATAAGAAAAGTAAAAAGTAAGTGATCACCTTAAAAAAACCAAAGCACTGTGGAGAAAATATTTGTATAATTTCTGAAAGCTGCTCACCAAAGAGGTGAGTGAACTTTTTGGAGGCATAGTATTGCTTCAGGTCTTCTGGAGAAAGGCAAGAAAATATAAACTCTAAATATGCTATCATCCAAATACAAACTGCATTAGATCATTAGATCATCTTTTGCTCAGCATTGGTAAATTTGTTTTTTTCTGCTGCCACTGAGTTATGTATCTGGTCTTGCTCCAAGAGTGCCTTTGCAGCCAATACTGCTCACAACAGCAGTCTTTCTATAAAATTAATCTAATGCAGGAAAAAAGCAATGCCTCCAAGCTCTTTTCCACAAGCATAACATATACCAATCTAAAGACTAAGTCCAGCAGTTTTAGACACTAAATCAGCATCAGTTTTGCTTCAGTAAGCACTCTAGACCCTTCCCAAAATATATTAAAACTGTACAGGTGTTTGTTTGTTTGTGGGGTTTATGTTTTGGTTTACATCAGGTAGTTTATGTCTTTTCTCCCAAGATTGCACTTTTTTACCTGCCTAGCACTCTTTGATACCCCAGTGTGAATGCAGTTATGGGAGGTCTATCTACCCTGAAAGCCAGATCCACCAGATGATGGCACAATGTGCACCAGGTGGTTTTGGAGCAAAATGTTTCACATTTTTTAAGAAGTCCTCATTACAAAGAAGTTATTTATAGTGTTATTCTCATAAGGAGCCAAAAACAGAGCAGCCTTTTATTAGAACTTGCAATAAAGGGCATTACATTGAGGCCTCCCTGTGCATAAATACCACTTACTTACCAAAAATTGGCCTGGAGAGCAGAAAAATTCAGCTTACATTAGCAAAGAGCTTATTTAGGTAGGAATGTTTTAGAGAGTTTAAGCAGCATGGGCAGAATTCAATTAATTCCACATGAGACAATGTAATTTCATCCTAATTAGTTAAGAACCAAGAAATGAGGAAAAAAAAAAAGAGGCAAAACCCTGTTCTGTCATGAAACTTCATCTGAAGAGTTATGATGAAAGATCTGTAAGTTTACCTGTTGGAAAACAATGAGTTAAAACAATCTTTCTTCAGCCCAAACTCAGATATCTCTGTGTCTAAGTAATAATAATAATAGTAATGCCCTTATCTTCTAGGTGAATGTAAGTTGGGGAGAAAACACAGCAGAGAAGCTCCTTCTGCCTCACTCCTCTTCAGGGAAGGTTCTTTCTGTGTATACTAACAAAGACATCTTCTGTCTCAAGGAACATAGGCCTTGGCCCTTCCTGGATAAAAGCTACAGGATGGGATGCTTAGCTTCCAACAACCCAGGGAAAAATTCCTGTAGTAGGGGAGTTTTCTTTTTCTCTCAAGGACATTGGAGCCCAGGGAAGGGCAGACCCCAGACCCCAGGATCCATGAACATGCTCCAAATCTGGCTTTGGGCTGGAGCACCCCAACCACCCATAGTCAGATCGGGCTGCTCCTCGTGCTGCTGGCCCCCTGCTCAAATATACCCAGTGCCTCGTCCACTAATTTTTGAGCTTGGAATGTAGGACAGGTGTCCTCTCTCATCTGCAAATGCAATAACGCCTTGCTTTACAGCAGCAAGTGCAGCTTTGGGGTGTTTTGAGAAAGGGGAAGGAGGGGCTGAGGGGAGAGAAAAAATGGAGGAAGCAGAGGTGAGTGTCCCCAGGAGACAGCCCGTTCCCGGCCTACGCTGGGGACGGTGCGCCCGGGCCGGCCACCTGCGCCCTCTGCTAGGGCATCTCCCCCGGAGCCGGGATTCCCCAGAGCTCCGCCCGCTGGGCGACTCCGCCGGCGGCTGCCGGAGAGCAGCGGGCTTGGCAATGGCACCCTCCCGCCGCCGAGGGGCACCAAGGCACCGAAGGACGGAGCGGTCCTCGAAAAACATTCGCCCACCCAGGCAGCAAGACGGGAAAGGGGGCTTTTCCCTCTCTGCCAGCCGGAGGGGAGTTGAGGGGGTGCTGCCCGGGGAGCCCCGGGGAGCCCGGAGCCCTAGAGATGAACTCTTAGAGTCAGTCTATGGAGCTTGAGGCAGCCGAGGTCATCCTGGCGCATACCTACCTCTTACTGTCACTGGATGCGCGCAAACTGATCTGTGAGAGCCATCAGAGGAATGGACTGAGCAAGGCGCGCGTGCAAATGACTGAAAACTTGTGGGACTGCAAGATTCAGACTGCTTCGTACTGAAGCAGTAGCGAGGTAAAGGTTTCTGGGGCGGTAGAGTGAGTTACACAGCTCAGAAGGAAAATTCCAGTCCAAATTCCAGCTTTTGTCACAAGCTTCCCTCTTTGCATGTCATTAGCTACAGGCACGTCCATATTCATTACCTGCGCTCGCTTGGACGGCAAAGCCAGTCTGGTGCACATGTGGCTTCGCTGAGTTTAAAATAATCAGTTCTTTTTTCACATTAAAACAAGGGAGACTCAGTTATACTGAAGGCTTTGGGTACCAAAGAGGCACACTAATGACGAAGAGTTAAGCCTCTCAAAAACTGCATCCACAGGGTGCATAGGAGTCTTTGAACTTTGGATGCAGGGATAAACCAAGCATAAAACAAGTTACTCTGATGTAGAAAATATCCCATATATCTGGTAGTGGTATAACAACAAACAACTTTAGAAAGTCTGGATATATTATTTTGGAATGCTTGTAAACTAAGTTAAAAAGAGAGATTTTTAATATTGTAGTTTATGTAAGTTGCTACTAATATTTAAATTAACAAAGTCAGGTTTACTGTTCACAAAGCTAATGAAGTCCAAGTTCAGTGTGGTTTATTTATCCAAAGATTCTAGAAAACAGGTATCTTCAATGAAACACAGTGTTATTGAACAGAACAAAACATTGTGTGATCAACTAGATTTAGAGACATTTATACCAGTTAGTATGGGGATAAAACCATCATATTTGAGGGTTGTTTGAGAAGGAGTTGGGGATCTCTAACCACAGTTACATCTCCTTTTCTTTTTACTAACCAAAAAGATTGTAGCATTGATAAATGGCTGGGATTTTCTTGTTGAAATCTTCATGTGACCCCAGCCATAAATAATACTTGGTTTCTTGTTTCTACTGTGCGGGTATGTAGTACATCCTAAGGTTTCTTCAATGTTTTTCAAAGAGATGTTTACAATTATAAACCTAATTTAAAAATAAGCATTTAGCTGGCTTATCTTCATTTGGCAGTCAATATGTGCATGGAGGAAAGGTTTCCAACAGCCCAAGGTGTGTGCTGTGCAATTGCCCCTTCCCTTACGCTTAAAAAAACTGAGACTGTATTAGATATTCTGAAGCCATTTCAGTATGTCGTTAAGCTGATGCCTTTGAGTTTTGTTCTGATCGTGTTGCTATGCCAATTTGAGACAGGAAAACAGTCTCTAAGCATTTACTGAAAACATTGCTCATCAACTGGGGAAAAAGAAAACGGGGGGGCAAAAACAGACATCAATCTGGTAACTGGAGAGAAACACAAGCTCCCCTTTTCTGGCAGCCGGTTTTCCCACATGTACTCTCCCTGCCATTGTAAAATATTCACATATGTCAACCACCCAAAAATGTAGTAGTGGAGAGTGAAAGAGCACTAAACTGAGGCTTTCTTACCACTCCACAGGCAGTCAGAGTATTGCTGTGCTGGCACCCAACAACTTTACCAAGCTCAGGCCATGCTGAGGCAACAACCTTTTCCTCCGTATCAGTATATGGTAACCAGACATGAACCTGGACATAGAAAGAGCAGTTAAACAGCTCTTTACAGCATGATGTGGACACTTTAAATCTGCCCTCTGAGTTTTCTTCTGGACATCTCCATGAGAAATTAGTTTGTCCACTCCCTTAAGCCTTTTGTGCCCTTCCCACATACTGAAGGGAGACATTGCAGGTGGATAGTGTGTGCGACTCACTAAGGAGGTGATGTGATTTAATTGTGGAGGCTCCAGGCAAACTGGTAACTGTGAGACAGAGACCAATGCTGCTATAGTCTCAGCTCTAGGTCACCCCTTAAGGATAGAGGTAATGACGTGTGGCACCAGTGATTGTAAAACAGCAGAGCTTTTTCCGTCCATAGTAAACAATGCTTCTTCTCATGAAATGTCTCAGCATTTAGTTGGATTATTTTTAGAAGCATTCACATTTGCTAAAACAACAGAGAGAAAAAAACCTCAAACTCATCAGAACTCTCATTTGTAGTGAAGTATTAATATTGAGAGTATTTTCAAAGTGAAAGTCAAGCATAAGATTTTGGTTTTCTTATTTTCTTTAGGGAATCATAGTTCTTCTTTGATTCTACCATTTTGCTCAAACTCATGACATCATACTGTTCTTATTATATTCATATTTATTTTGTTTGTCGTTATCCAAAGAGTTTAACAGCATTCTCTTACCCCAGAAAACAGTTTGGATACTTTGCTTAGTTTTTATCCGTGGGAAATTTATACTTTTCCTTCTCAGTTTGAAGAAAGTTCTCAAAACACAAGAAGCTCCTGCCTCTGACCAGCTCTTCTCTAAAGATCAGTCCATGCTAGAGTTAAGGTTGCTGCAGTCACCCCAGCCCCTCCACCTGTCTTCCTGCCCTTGCATGATGACTCAATCTCTAATGACAGAGTCACACATGAGTTTTTCCACAGCACCTGTCCTATCTGACAGCCTGTAATGAATGAAAGGGTTGAGCAATGTTTATTTTTATCTTCTCTTTTCTATTTGAGCTCTGCTTTGGGGACAACTGTCAAAAGCATATTTAACCACTTACTTTTAAAAACTTGCTTGCATTCTTCCTACTGCATCCCCACGCTTGTGAAATTGACCTTCAGAACTACGACTAAGCAAAGTCACAATTTCTTAAGAGAAGACTATTTTGCTTTTCTCATAAGGGAACTTTTCAGCTTCGAGGGGAGAGTGGAGCTATTCTAGCTCTTCCACAGCGCTATAGTTTTAATAGAGAGAGTCATTCTGCCCCATTCCACAAAGGAATGTTTTTACAGGTATTGCACGTAAAACATTTAGCAGGACAGCTGGCCATAGGCCTGAGGGATGCTTACATAAACAATGCAGGCTGTGTTGACAAGCACTAGCTTAGTAAGCATGTAGGCAGAACTGAAAAAGCAAACATTTCGCATGCTTCCTTGACCCCTGTTTGATCAATTCATTTTCACATCACTTCCCCTTTTCTTCACTAGTTGTCCTTCTCCTTGTGTTGCTTTCCTTCTATCTAGGAAGGGTTTGACAGGCACCTGACCAAAGAGGGGGCTGGCAGAGGGCCTGAACAGATGCTGGGTGCTCTCTCTAAACCCTCAGCACTTTCTCTTACCCTGAAATTTCCTCTTCAGTCCTGGCTGCTCTTCCCCTGGAAGCCCACCCTCCCTTTCCCACTGCTAGACATCTGCAGGCAGAAAAACTGTCTGTGCACAACCATGAGAGGCAGCAGCACACCTAGCTACTCATTGGGTGCACTGCTTGGTCAACAGAAATAGCAGAAGTGTGTACCCTTCTAGTATAAGAAATGTACAGTGAAACCTTTGCTAAGGAACGCTTGCACGGATGAGAGCACAAGTATTTCAATCCATTCATCAAGTGCTTTCACCTCTCCACTTACCAGCAGGAGCAAATAGGATGACCGTTCAGGGGTTGTGCAGGGGACCAAACCTGTGGCTTTGCATGCTCTGGAATAATGACTTCCATTTGCTTACATCAGTCCCTGTTTACGGATTAGTTCCTCAAACCTCCGTGACTGGGCAGTAGAGGAGCAGTTGGTCACAGAGGACTGTATCATTCATTATCCCTGACCGAGTTCACTGCTTGCACTGGTGTAATGGGTGAGCAGACTGGATAGTTTCCTAACACACACAAGGCAAGCACCTGCCATCCCATCCATATTTGTACACCTGTGTATCCTTCAAGTAAGCTGCTCATCTAACCTGACATTGTCAGACGCCTGAACTGTATTGCAGGTGAATGAAAAGGAAAGTGTTTCTGGATGCAGCTGAAAAAAATGCGAGGCTCTATAAAAAAAAAACTCTTCCAGCTATTATTCACATTCACATCTAACAGTAGTTTTTCAGGGACCTGCCCATCTCGCCTCCCTTTCCCCTCCCACAGATTTCTGCATAGTGGGTACCACAGGGGTAAAGAGGTCTTTAACGGAGATCACTATTCATTAGCTATCAATGGTTATTGTCATAGGAGGCCCACAAGTGAGATCAAGGCTTCATTGTTCCAGGTGATGGATCCACATGGATACCACACGTTCCTGCTGTAGGGCTGGCACTGAAATGAGGCAGCAGGTCAGAGTGAGCTTTTAAATACCACTCTCTGAGCTGGTAGCTCAAGGTTCAAATAAGCCAGTGGAGTTCCCCAGAGAGTGACATTACCAAAATCTCTTGGTGAGCTGATTCCATAGGTTGGAAGGGAAGAATAATATTTCAAATAAGTGGACTGGCGGAGTTCAAAGGGATAATAAGCATTTAAATTCAACATGAAAGACATCTTCCTCTGAAGAGCTTTAGGATGGAATGTAGCCAGGGAGATAAGCTATTTAAAAGCCCCTTTAATCAAGATCATTAACATGGAGATTTTTGTCATAATTAAAAACATCCCCCTTTTCAATCACATTAAAGAGAAAGTGATACAAAATGTAATTTATTTTTCTATTTGAATTGCTTTTAAAAGAACAGTAAAAACATTTTTCCTTGCAGAGAATCACACCATCATTAAAAGTTATCTTTGAGAGAAGATTCATTTAATCTATTCCATTGCTCATATTTTAGCTTGGAGTGAACCGTTGCACTTTTATTTCAACAAAAATGTAAAAAACTTACATTTTGACTTCCCAAGTATTTGGTTTTCTGACCATAAGCAATAGTGAGACAACTTAAAAGGAAAAGTTTTATTCTCACATATTTCTTGATATCTCAAAAGATGCTGTAGAAAACAATGCCAGCTCACATAGAAAGCACGCATTAATTTTTTTTTTTTTTGGGTGCATTTGGAAGTAAACCACCTTAAAAGGAGCCTATGCACTTTGCAGAAAGAAAAACACACAGAATATTACCATGCACTTGTATTCAGCAAAACCTGTGAGCAGCAGAAAGGGAAGATGACACTACAGGAGCCAAAGAGTGCTACCAGTGCACCTTCCTTCAATTATAAGCTCAAAGTCCTACCGGCCCCAGGGCTCCCCTCTTGCCTCCAAAATAGCTGTTGTATATTTAGGT